CCCGACGTTTTCGACTACTGCAGCACTTACTAGACAAACGCTTTAAGCTTTCAATCAATTACAAACGACTCATATATATGACAATAATAAGACCTATTTGGAATTATAGAATTGAGTTTTGGGGCTCCACTAAACTATCTAATTCCTCTCGTATCCAATCCTTACAATCCAAAATCCTTCGTAAAATCCTCATTGCTCCCTAATTTGTAACAAATAAAACCATCCATAATGACCTTAATGTTTCTTATGTTTCTGACCTGGCCCAATCCAGATACCTATCCTTCCATAACAAACTTCAGAACCATCCGAACCTTCTCGTTTCTAACCTTACTTTCTCTTCGATCCCTGACAACCCTCCGAGGCGTCTGAAAAGAAGATGGCCTCGAGATCTCCTTTTGTAAATACATTTTTAGAGTGCTACCAGTGGGTAGTTTCTCAACAAGTGTTTTCATGTTATTATATTCTTTTTTTCACATTTACTGAATGTATTTTTATTTGTAATACAGTTGTAAATATCATCAATAAAAAAAAAAAAAAGAAAGTTTGATCTCTGAGGTACACCGTGTAAAATTGGTCTCTACTCATATCATTTCTCTTCTGCTGTTATTACAGACCTTATAATGATATAGAGATGGTTGACCGTTGATATAATATGAGAAGGAGTTGATCGGAGGGTGCGGTCAAAATTATTAATAAATTAAACAAGTAGAACTATTTAGTTTTTGCCGACGTTTCAGACCTTATAGATCTTTTGTCGCCTTAACCAGCCTCCATCTCTGGTAATCCTGGACTAAAACTTCCCTATATCTCCTATCTGTTGCATGCAGGTTGATATCTCTGTTAATTCGATCTATCCATCTGTTTTTGGGCTTCCATGCCTTGTCTACCGTTGAGGCATTCATATTGTAGAGGCTTTCTGATGGATTACTCCGAGCTACATGCACCACCCATATTAACCTTCCTTCATATCGCGAGATATTGATTGACCATTTCCAGTAAGCAGTTCGTTATTGGTTCCTTCTCTTCCATATTACACTCTGATCCTAAATCGCTCCGGTTCTCACCTTTTTAACTTTTTCAATACTTGTTTCAAGATTGCTGGTTGGTGTCCAATTATGGCAATCCTATGTCAGAAATCGAGGAATGTTTCAAAGGTTGATCCAGCTCCAGAACCTTATCCAGCTCTATTCTTACAAACTATGGTCGTTGTATTCCAACTCGTCCTACATCTACTGCTCTGTCTAAATACAGTTTATTACGTGTGCTGTTATATTCGACCTAAGGTGAGGTCAGAAGAATAAACTCTTCGTACGTTGAATATTATCCATCATATTTCATAATTGCCAGAATTGGTGTTAACCTTTATTGCAACTTTATTTGATGTATCTTATTTACATGATAGAGTTTTTCATGTTTTCTGGATTGTAAATAATTCGGAGTACCATACTTGATATCTGAAACAGAATCTGCTAAAGACCTAACTCTGAATCGTTCGACTAAGCTACATGATTAAAATGTGGGTAACTGTGTCGTCTCACCAACATTATTCAAACGTAAACATATTTAATGATCTATCAAAGGGTCATTATTTTATGTATAGTATTGTTTTCCGAGCATTGTGTGCTAATAAAAGATTTTTAAAGCTTATAAACTTATTTATTGTTTCTCTTTTTATAGGATCATTATTCGAAGATAAATCTATTTCAACATCTAACAATGAATCATTATTTTTTATTAACGTGATTGTTATCTTAATATTCCGTTGTAATTTAAAATGGATTCCACTGACTGAGTTTAATGATTATTACTGATTTATAGTTTTATGTATATTTTTATATATTATATCTTTATGTGTATAAGTCTGGTATATAGGAGAATGATTATGTATTCACTTGATTGTCTCTGATCTGAAAAGATAATGCTTAGCTTTATTGGCCTTGATATCTTTTCTGGAAATGTTATTTCTGGACGTTGGCGAATTAATTTTCAGAATGTCCTATTTCTATTCAAATCGAAATATTCAATGTCATGTAACCCTTTATTTTACAAGAAAAGTAAATCTTAAAGTATTTACTGTTGTACGAATTCGTTAATTTCCATAGAACAAACTAGACGCTGCACGGAGGTGGATAAGTCTGGTATAGGAGATCTAAGATCTACAAGATTTATCAATTCAGATATAAATATTATAGTCCGTGGTACAGACTATTCATTGTCTATTTAATTAGGTACTATAAACTCGTAAATTTTCTTTCCACTTTAATTCGTAAGATATCTTGAACACAAAGCCAAGGAAATAGTGGCCTTCAAAAATATTAAGCCGTTTGGCCTATATAACCTCGTTATTTTAAAAATTTGGGAGTATGGGTCACGCCAAGCTGCTGGATTCTTTTAAAGGCCACATTTTTTCTCGACTTTCTGCTGAAGTCATCTTACGGTTAAAGTGGAAAGCAAATGGGTATTTACGAGTTTTTAGTATATAATTAAATAGACAAAGTTTGCCGACTTCTAGATTAAAAACAGTCCCATTCCGAGAATTTTAGTAAATAAAATATTTTTATGCTACCATGAGATGAGAATATTTGCGAAGCTTTAGCACGATTTTAATAAATTCATAAAAAGGGTCTGTATGACGGAGTATTAACATTGAGTGGTAGTTTGATAGACCGTTTGTTAACATTTGATACTTGGGTTAAACCATAAATTAGTAATTGGATTAAAACTATATTATATTCCAGACTTACTTTTAGTATTTTGTACATTTAAAAAATCTGGTGAGGTGCGCGCTTCACACAACTTTCACTTACTACCCTCTTCTTAGCAGAAATGAGTATTTTAAGACAAAGGAGAAGTGGAAGTAAAAATTATAGTCAGTATATTTATTTATATTTGATTGTGGGTATATATAAATTTTAATATTTATATTGCTGTTTCTATACAATTAAATATTGAATAATACCAACAATAGCATTTATTTATATTAAGCTCATGTTACGTATGGAAGCGTGTTCTAATCTTTCGGGCGAGCTCTTATTCCTTTGGTTCCTCAATTACAACTATTCTCCTTTAAGATCTCTTATTTCTTCTTTAGTTAATTATCAAATTCTTTCTTATTTTATATTTAACTTTCTTTTATATTAGAGATCAATGTGAAATAGTCAATTGTTTCAAATAAAAAAAATAAAGGTAATTTAGGGGAAGCTAATATTGAAAATTATCCACTTAAGCCTTGTTAGAGAATATCAATCAGAATAAAAACTACATTTTATTAGAAAATGCTTAATTTTACACTGATATAATGAATTTAATCAAAATCGTTTTTGAGCTGTTTTCGAGAAAATTGTAAAAATGTGTTCAGTCTATGATATTAAATGTCACTTCTCCAGTTAGCTTAGATTTTGATGAAAAAGTTGTTGTAACATCCCAAGCATATACACACATTAAATATGCAATTTCACTTTCGTATGACTTTTCGTTTTTGAGCTAGACTGTTAACACACCCACACATAAACACAAGGACCATTTTGCGGGGCAAGGTTATTTGGACTCATGGGACCTCAAAACGTGTATTTCCATTGAAAACTGAGATTCGAAAATATACGACCGCAATATTTTCCTTTAATATATTTTTCATATCTAGGTAAGTGAAAGTTAAAAACAATAAACAAAATTGTAAGATAAGGTAAGATTCCTAGAATTTGAAAATAATTCATATTTATTTGTTTGTTTGCCTCTACCCGCCAGGGTCATTGGCAATCCTAAACTCACTGGCACATTTCATATTATATTGTTCAATCCAATTGTTTTCAAGAAGTCCAGTAACATTTCCATTTCTCTCTCCGCATCCTGCAACACGTATAGTCTCATGCATGTTTAGATTCTTCCGGATAACTGAATAATGTGTGTAATCGACGAGTATGTGGTTCACAGTTCTAGCACCTGACTCAGGTAGGTGGTTCTCGAAAGTGGAGAAGGTATCCATGCGAAAATTCGCAGTGACCAATTATGAGGCGGCACAGGAATATTTCCTCTCTTCTAGATCTCTTGTTACTCGTACACCATTTAGCAATATTGGGTTTGACAAGAGCAAATTTTGAGGGGTTCCTTCTCCATGTTTCATTCCATAGAGCTATTATTTGAAGTTTCGCTTACCTCACGCAGTCCATCCGATAAACAGTGGATGGAATCCCAAATGAAAGCTATTACGTTTTCTACCCTTTTACTGACCCAAATGATTTCTAAAATTTCCACTATCGTAGCATGTTTAGAAATTTGGCTTTGGATTCCCCCAGTAGCACACTCATTGTATCAATTATAATGACTGATTTTTGGTGGTTGTCAGCTTTCATAGTTGCTAGAAGCTTTAGAAGTTAAATTGTTGTTTGTTAAAATGAAAATATATTTCATTATTCTGGGACTGTTGTTCCTTTAGAACAAATTATAAGTGCAGAAAGCATGCCTGTGTGGTTATAAATAAATTAAATATTTACAATTATAGTTAATTAAAATTAAAAATATAGAAAAAGAGAGGACAATGACAAACAAAGGAAAATTAAATAACATAAATAGTCTCTGGGATACTTAGATAGTTCTCTTAGGTATATTTTGTAATAAGTCTGATTGAGAAAGGAGTATGTGTTTAAGGAGGAGATGTTCAAAATATGAAACTAATGGTGCGTGTTAAATACCAGCAGGGACAGAATTCCAGAGGGGGACGACTTGAATTGCAAAGGATTTTTCAAACTTAGCAGCTCGGTGAGGAGGAGGATACTGGTTGGAAGTACGAGATCTATTGGGACAGGATTGGATGGAGTATTTAAATTGTAAGCTATGGAAAATATAGGAGGATCGATGAATTCTAATGATCTGATACAGAAAGATAGCTAGGAACTACTGAAGGCGATAGGCTATTAATTTTTATTTTTTTTTTTAATTTAATACAATATTAATCATTATTTTATTAATCTTTATTAATTTATGTATTTATTTTAACTACTTACCTATCCCACCAGTACTGCAAAAAACATATTTCTGACCAGACGAATGTCATATCTTCTAAATCGGGAAGAACGTGGACAATATTATCTAGTATACGTTTCGTTTTTGTTTCGTAATAGTCTTCGAACGTCTGAAGCCATCCAGCATCGTTGTGTGAAAACGGCACGATTATAACCTGAAAAAAAAAATTATATATTTATAAATAATGAAATTTAAGATGATAATCACAAACAGTGTAGGTTAGGAAGGGAATTATAACAAAAACATTAATAAATATTTTCATATTATTTCTGCCACCAAACGAACTTAACCATTACGTTTAGTACGGCTAATTACATAGAGTATGAACCCAATTAAAATTATTAATTAAGGGAATATCTCAGTGAAATTCCATATCTATAGAATCGAGCGTTTCATCGTCCCGCTACGAAATGGATTGCTCCACGCCATTACACTTCTGGCTCAATGATTTTCACTTAACCTAAATGTTCTGTTTTTGTTATTCAAAACTCTCAAAAGCATTTTATTGTTCCACACGTTCCATCTTAGCAGAAATGTAACAACCACATCAGATTGCGTGTGAAACAAAATGGCCTTCAAGATATTGAGGGAATTAACGTCCCGTGCTGGCATACTCCAACACATGATCTTTTTGCGTTGGGATTAAGGCATATGCCTACAAATCTGTGATAATCAGAACTATTTTTATTTTTTCTAAAGATTCCACATTCTTGTCAACGTTAAAAAATTAACTTTTTAATAGGGTGTATTAAAAAACCGTTTTTTTAAACCAAAAATTTGTATTATTATTTCTTTGATATAAAATACAATTAATACTCAAAGTATAGTCTATTGTTATCTACTATCATTAGCCATCTGCTAGCCAATTGCTCGATCCCACGCTGTTATCATTCTTTGTGATGGCTGTCAAAGAACACTTGGACCGCAATTTCATTTAAAATTATCAATTTTTTCCCTTGAAGTAAATGTGCCATTGATCTATATAAGTAGTAATCCGATGCTGCGAGGTCTGGACTGTATGGTGGATAAGGCAGGAGTCTCGTATCGGAAGGGTTTATCAATAAATATTCATAAATTTAACCTCTTAGCTAATTTCTGAGGAGTGAAATCATGAGAGACCAGTATACTGATCTTTTTCACCTTCCCCATGATGAGTAGATGGCGACTATTTAGTATCGTTCGACACAACACACTCTCTGGCAAGTTCGCGAGTACTCGTGGACGGATTTGATTCAACAACTTCCTGCAGAACCTCATCAATATCCATTAATGGTCGCCTGGAGTCCTTCCACCTTTCCAACGTCTTATCTCAACTGTTAATTTTTTTAAACCAACGCCGCACATTGCGCTGGCCAATGACACCTCATCATATTTGACAATTTCACGAGTTGTTTCAGAAGCTGTGAATTTTTCTTTCAGCAATCCTTTAAAATTTAGAAAATTTCGTAGGGCACTGTCATGTTTCTTCTTTGAGAAAAATAACTAAACTGAGGCTTTTTTTGAAGAAGTAGAATGGGACCAAACAAGTTTAGAGAATGCTCTAACGGAATTATTAACTATTGGTAAGTATTAAAAACGATTAAAATATTTACAGCCCTTTGAAATTTTGAATTTGATAAAACGGTGTTGTTTTTTTTTTTTGTTTTTTTTATACATCCTATTATATAATGTGTTCATGTCGAAGATTAATATAAACGAATCGTATGCTATGCTAATTATTTCCTCAGGTCTAAAAGTAAATAATTAAACCTGATATTTTATTTCTGAATAAAAAAAAGAAAAAAAATAATTTGAATAAAAAAAGAAAAAAAAAATAATTTGAAAATCCTTCTATAAAGCGTAGGACGCTCCTTAACTCCCACAATGGGGAAGCTTTAGCAATCAGGAAGAATGACGGTATAAGCCGAGTTACCCGGCCTTTTTTTTTCTTTCATTTATGTAACTTTTTGAAAATCAACGTCCATCACTAACGACCCTTCATTTCAGATCGATTCTAAAGCACCACTTTGAGCATTATTACATCGCTCACATCACTCGCTTACATAACGATATAAAGTAAGCTATATATTTCGGGGGTAAAAAGCAATAGATATTTTGACTTCTTATTATAAAGGTGTTTCAATGTGTGTTCAATATTGGATCGAAAAAGTTTTTTTCCTGAAAAGTCAATCAACACTAAACAAGGTGTTTCAGGGTTGAGTATCCAAACTGCAAAAATGGACTAAGGACCTCAAAACAAGAAAAAAGGGAGATATTCATACATAAAGATTTCCGTTGTTATGAATTATTTTCGTTACATGAAATAAATAAAACCTATTAATTTGTTCTTACTACTTTATTAATTTAATGCAAACATTAAATTCATATTAAATGTTGTTCAAATTTATTTCCTTGATCATTAAGACAGGCTCGGCATTTTTCTTCAACAGCAGCAGTGGCAGAACGGCACTGGATATGTGTTATTGTTTCACAAGATTGAATTGTCCTTCTTCGTAAGGAATTAAGGTAATTGGCCGTAATATCTCCTAAACAAAGCATTTGCGGACATACCTTCAGAGGAATTTTTTTTTTCTTTTTTTTGAGGTCCTTACTTCATTTTTGCAGTTTGGCCACGTTTAACCCTGGAAAAGCCTGCAAGGATACATTGTTATATCGGCAGTTTGGTGAAGGCTACAGATATTGTATTGTTACCGAAATAACATAATGAAATGCTCAATGAAAGGTGGTCATGTAAATATAGAATGTATAAAGCACTTTTCACATAGACTACATAGTATCAATTAGCTTTATTAATACGTTAAAATTATTTTTTTTTCCATACACTTTGTATTCTTTTTTTTTTAATTTCCAATAAGTGGCGGGTACTTCCAGCCCAACGCCTCTGGGCAAATACCCGAGTTCCTCTGCCCTTAGGCTGGTGTTGCTTAATATGGAACCAGACCAAGCGAAGAAGAAACTGGTGAGAGGAGATATAATATTAAACGGTCTTCAAAACAATCGAACCTTCCTGGGCACTGCAAAGTGAGCTCGATTGGAAAAAATGCTACCAAATTCCGGATAGTCAGAGAGCATTGATTTAATTAATCGGAAAATTTAACACGATACGAAAAAAAAAAAGTTTATTTTTTCCAAAAATGTATCTTCGAAATTGCAAGAAGCTCAGAAACGAAGTGATCTACACATCAGCAATTTACCTAGAACTTACCAAGCATTCGTGAATAGAACCATGTTCATATCGTTAACGAATCGGAGGTAGTGAAGTTTGTTTTCCATCTTCTTCTGCTTAGACAGCTGTTTTTTTATTATAACCTTTTGATGTGCATTTACATATATATGAATATATTTTTTTCCCTCTCATTGCTATAATTATACCTTTTTATTTCTTAATTTTTGTTACATATTTAAGGATTTTGATTGGATATTGCATGTTTTTTATCAGCTCTTTTTTTTTTTTTTCTTGATCAGCTGTGTTCAGTGTTGTCCTTCATACAGTTAACTTGTCATAGGCAATGAAGACTTTATAAGTAATATTTGTATTCTTGATGACTGTTACACAAATGGCATCTTAAAATACAGAATAATACTATGGATATATGGATTGACTACAAGTGTTCACTCCAGGTCTCCTACAAGAGTGTGACTTCAAGAATGTAACTGCAAGAATGAGTAGTCCAGAGGAGCATGGGAGTAATATACAAAGGAATAGTAGGCGGGGTGGAGGGGAGGTATTGTGAAGGAATTCTGTGAGGTCTAGGTAGAGTTGGTATCCTTATTTTTCAATATTGATATGAAGTCTGTGAGAAAGAGGACTTTTGCTGAAATCTGTTATTGTTCCCTAAGTCTTGATAATGGGTCTTGTTGTATCCAGTCGGTGCCTTCTAGATAACTATTTCTAAGCTATCAGAGATAGCTTGACATGACTATCTAGGGTTAGCTTTATCTTCTTTGAGTTATGAGAACTGTCAATACAATACACGATTCATCAATTGGTATATTGAACAAACTCAATCATTAAAATAAAAGTTAAATTTAATATTAACATTATTATTAAGGAAGGAGATGGTCCGGGGTTGCGGTCATAAATAGGCTGAATAGTAATAAATAATAATAATAATAAGGCTTAGCGAACCCGAAGGTTCGATGCCGACACCACCAATCGCTTGTTACACACCTCCCTCCACCGTTCGCCGTCCAAACCCAGTCCCTTCAGATCGGCTTTAATGCAATCTTCCCACCTTCGCTTCGGTCTTCCCCTCGGACGCTTACCATTCGGCACAGCAAATATTAACCTTTTAGGAATTCTCTCGTTACTAAGCCCAACAACTTTACAAGCCCATTTGATTCGCCGCGATGAAATCACCTCAATTATATTACTCGGATACAGCTCACGCAATTCGGCGTTGTGTAACCGTCTGAACTCTCCGGTTAACTCATCCTTCTTCGGTCCGAATATTCTACGCAATACTTTATTTTCAAAAACCTTAAGACGCTGCTCATCCCTTAATGTAAGCGGCCAAGTTTCGCATCCATAAAGAACTGTAGGCAAGATAATTGTTTTATAGATTCTAATTTTTAAGTTTCGGGACAAGAGGCGCGAACTAAGTAGTTTTGTCATAGAAAAATAACAAGCATTCCCCGCCTTCAGTCTAAACTTAATCTCTTCTTCAATTTCGTTTTTTCTAGTTATCGTAGAACCTAGATACCTAAATTTATCTACCTGTTCAAACATATTACCATCTATATCGATATCACCAGTAGTATCGCCATTTTTGCAGCTAACCATATATTTTGTTTTATCCACGTTTATTTCGAGTCCTAGTTCTTTACCGGCTTTCATTAACGTTGTCGTATTTAGTTTTATAGTTTCAACGTCTTCGCTTAACAGTACCAGATCATCAGCATAGCCCAGCACGGATGTTGTCCCGCCCAGATCCAACCCTTTCTCGGTTCGCATTACCTCCCTAATGGCATGTTCTAATGCCAAATTGAACAGGACAGGCGAAAGATAATCCCCCTGTTTTAAGCCCGAACGAACCTCAAATTTTTCGGACAAATTATTACCGATTCTAACTTTATTGAGTGTCTCCGTCAAGCACATCCTGACTAGATTTACTAGTTTTTTTTGGAATCCCCTGCTCGATTAGAATATTATACAG